TTCAAGCCCATGGCCTTTCTCCAAGTGGGGCATCGATATCCTAGGCCCCTTGCCTCTCAGCAAAGGGCAGTGCAAGTTCGTGGTGGTGGCAGTCGACTATTTCACCAAGTGGTCAGAGGCAGAACCTTTAGCAAAAATCACAGACGCAAAGGTCAAAGATTTTATCTGAAAAAACTTGGTCTGTCGCTTCGGGATTCCCCATGCCATTGTCAGCGACAACGCCAAGCAGTTTGACAACAAGCTGCTGAACTCTTTCTGTTCTGACCTTCAAATAAAACAACCTCACTCCAGCCCGGCACATCCACAAGCAAATGGACAAGCAGAGGTCATGGTAAGAACGGTGCTACGCAATTTAAAGACAAGGCTTGAAAAAGCAAAGGGCCTTTGGGTAGAGGAGCTGCCAGGCGTACTGTGGGCTTATCGAACCACGCCAAGAACCCCTACTGGGGAGACTCTTTTTTCCTCGCCTTTGGAACCGAGGCGGTCATCCCTGTGGAGATAGGGGTACACTCCCTAAGGGTCCAGCACCACGATCCCATCACCAACGAGGAAGGACTCCGCAGCAACCTCGACTTGGTGGAGGAAGCGAGGGAGATGGCTGTAGTCCGCAACGCGGAGTATAAACGGCGCATGACAAGGTACTACAATTCGAGGGTGAAGCCCCGTTCCTTCCAACCTGGGGATTTGGTCCTCAAAAAAGTGATCCTCGCTACAAAGGATGCACGCGAAGGAAAGCTAGGACCAAATTGGGAAGGGCCCTACCGCGTAACAGAAGTAGTGAGACCAGGCACCTACAAAATCCAAGATTCTGAGGGAAAAGTTTTACTCCATCCATGGAATGCAGAGCACTTGAAAAGGTATTACCAATGACACCTTGAGAGCATCAAAGCAGTAGAAGTTGGGACTTGATTTGATTTTTAGGGGTGTTACCCAAGATTTCAATGTATTTTTTTTGGAATTATTACCCAATATCGCTTTTTATAAGCAATAAATTAATAAAATTTTCTATGCCATTTACTCCAAAAAGATTTTCTGTATTTCATTTCAAAGGAGTATCGGTACAAAAATAAGGCCAAATACCGCCTTTTCAAAAAAAAAAAAATCAAAAGTCCTAAACACTCTAACTGCTCTCATGGTCGTCCCCCACCTCCTCCTCATTGTCATCAACAGCATCAGATCCCCCCTCATCACTGTCGTCAGTGGGCACGAAAGGTGAGAAGTCAATATTAGGGAAAGCGGTAGAAACCTTTCCTCGGAGATCCTCGAAACCATCAATAAAAGCATCTGCAAGACCATTCTCCAAGTCTTCCTCAGCGCGGGAAACTCTCTCCCGAGCAGCCGTCAACTTTGCCTCCGCAACAGCTGCCTCTCTGAGCATGGCCCTCTACAAGCTCAGCCTCTCTGAGCGCGCTCCTCTCGCGGACTGTCAAAAGCTCAGCCTCTAGCTTAGTGGCCCTCTCATGGGCTGCAGCAAGCTCACCATCCCTGAGCGTGCTCCTCTCGCGGACTGCCAAAAGCTCAGCCTCTAGCTTAGTGGCCCTCTCATGGGCTGCAGCAAGCTCACCATCCCTGAGCGCGTCCCTCTCGCGGGCCGCCAAAAGCTCGGACTCAAAATTAGAAGCCCTTTCATGAGCTGCCACAAGCTCACCCTCCCGGAGCACGTCCCTCTCACGGGTCACCAAAAGCTCAGAATCAAGCTCGACAATCCTCTCCTGAGCAGTAATAAGCTCCCTCTGCACAAGGCTAAGATCCAGCTTCAGCTTGTCTTGATTATAGGCCCTCGAAAGCAAGCAGATGGAGGAAGTCGAAACCTAAAAAAAAAAAAAGGAGAGACAAGAGATTAAGAAAAGTCAAAAACACAGGAAATGACTAGAGAAAGGGAAATACGTGTTGACGATATTATCAGTGCCCGAAGCGCTAAGCTCAGAAACTTCTGGCCCAAACACAAACCTCCCAAGCCTTGCCCTGATAGCTGATGGTCTCCCCATCATAGGACCAGCCCAAATCGGCACTCGGATAGAAGTTCCTGAACAAAGAGGAGACAAAGGAGGGGTAGCACGAGGAGAGGATAAAGGTGGAACAGATGTGCCTAGCAAGGAAGATTCTGGAGTAGCAGCTGGAGAAGTTGCCAGTTGAGAAGGAGCCACCGTGGGAGTCACATGGGGGGCATCGTCCGTCCTTGCCACTTTGGAAGAAGGAGGGCTCTTGCTAGAAAAGCGGGACACCACCACCCTCTTACTTGCTGCAAGAGTAGAGAAGGGTTAGATAAAAAAAAAAAAAAAAAGGAGAGGAAACTAGCTCACCCCTTTTCTTCGAAGAGGAGCCGCCAGATTTCTGAGATGGAGCAACAGCTCTAGTATACTTGGGCAGGAGAACTCCCAAATCTTTACAAGGGCAAGCTTTGACAGCTTCCAATTTCCACTCCTGGTCCCGGGAAAGCACAGGTATATCTGCATGGAAAAAGTGAGCACACACGCATAAAAAAAAAGGAAAAAAAAGAAGTGTGCAGCATACCGGGTTTTTTAGCAGCACCCCAATGTGTTGGCACCAAAGCTCTGTCGGCTTCTGAAGCCCATTCTCCACCAATAAAGAAGAAACAAGATTTTCAGCCGCCGCAATTAGAGCGCGTTCCTGTAAGCACTGTACCACTCCGTGCGGTAAAATAGTACCATCCCCTATTTGGTGTAGGGGTTTCGCTCAAATTATATGCTGCATGAAACTCCATAGGGGAAGCATCCTCGTGGTGCACCTTTCTCCATAATGCAAGAAAACCGAGCAGGACTCTCCAACCGTTGGGCGCTAGTCGCCCCGGAGTCAAGGAAAAGTAATGCAAAACACGACAAATGGGGGAGGACATGAGAAATCTTAACCCAGCCTCAAGCATCTCCTCGTAGACAACAATATCCCCGGAAGAGTCATCGCAAGCAAGCTCGCCCAACTCAGCCCGACGGCACAACACGGTCGGAGGGATGCGATAAGTAAAAACAAGCCTTGAAATATCTTCATCTAAGCGGAACAAACTAGAAAGGGTGCTCACCTTAGACCCGTCATCATCAAGTCCCACTTTGCTCTTGCGTTTCTTCTTCCGGGGCCTTAAGGAGTAGTCCAAATCACCATTGGGAGAGTCTTGAGGAACTTGAATCGGGGGAGCTACAATAGGGGCTTGATCATCAAGAGCAGCACCCAAAGCTTCCTTACTACTTGCAATGTCTAGCCCAACGCCTGGAAGTGTGCCTGACTGCTGTTGCTCGTCAAAACAAAGTTGCCCAGTAGCTTGAAGGGTGTCTGACCCTTCAAAATTGCGCAAAGCAAAATTTCGGCGCAAAAATCAGCACCTAAGGCGCCCAAATCAGCGCCTCGAGTGGGAATCGGATCAGCCCGTGCTCCCAGGCCACTGCCTAGCTCTCCCTGATGAACCTTGGACTGATTTTCAGCGCCCCTTGATGGAAAAATGCTGCTGCCCAGCATTCCAAAGCCGCCCAGCGCAGCAGAACTGAAGCTGTCCAGCGCAGCTGAGCTGTCCGGGACAGCAGAAGCAGCAGCCAGGCTGCTGCCCAGCGCGCCTGGGCTGTCCAGGACAGCAAGGCCAGCGCCCAGGCAGCTGCCCAGCGCGCTGGGCTGTCCAGCACAGGAGGAGCAGAGCCCAGGCAGCCACCCAGCCCCATCACCGCGCGCGCGCGCGCTGCCCATCTCCCCTTCGCTGTCCAGCCCTTCATTTACAGCCCCAAAGCTGTCCAAGACAGCATTCGAATGCTCAAAACCAGCCTCCAAGTTCTCCAAAATGGTGCCTACTTCCTCCCTTTCTTCAACCTCCACCACTCCCTCTTCAATCGACATTGTTTACTTGAGAAGCTCAACTAGCAAGGAAGAAATCACACTCTTGAAAGGATTCAAGGAGAACACACTTTGGCTTCAACAAAATGGGTAGGACTTGAGTTCTCAAGGTTTTCAAGAGGTGGGTGCTCAACCTTAAAAATGAGTGAAATGGGTAACATGAAGAAGAAGACTATATTTATAGTCTAAGGTTTTTCAAAAAGAGGGAAAAACCCAAATAGAAAATTATGGGCCATTTTCAAAATAAAAAGGTCAAATAGAATATTATGGGCCCTCTTCAAAATAAAGTGGGAAAGACTTGAAGTTTAAAAAAAAAAATAATAATAATATAGTCAATGCCTCCTTCTCCAAGTCTCATTGGACATGGGGCATTGGGGGGCAAATGATGGGTTAAGCCCAAATAGTCCAATTTATGTGTTAAAGTCCAACCCAGTTGAGGAGCCCAACCTCATTTTGAATCCACCAAGCCCAAGACAGTCCAAGACCGGTTAGACTTTTTGCTTAGCACGTCATCAAGAGGAGAGCATGGGAAGCTTATCTGCACCACCGAAGGAAACGGTCCAATCTTTGACCGCGTTTCATGAAGAGCTCCCCAACCTCCTCCTTCCGTTGAGGATAAGTCGTGATCTCCACCAGAATGATCTTTTAGTGCTATAAAGTAGCCTTGAGGATAAGTCATGATCTCCACCAGAATGATCTCTTAGCTGCGATAAAGTAGCCTCAATCTGTTAGGAGACTAATATAAATGGCACGCCCCACCAACACTTACAGGGGACAGACCGACGACCGGAGACCACTGCTTCTTTGATTCTCCATTCTCTCAAAGCTTGTATCTCTATTCTCCATACCTTTGAATTAATAAAATACCCGGCAACTGAAGCCATTGAAGAGTGGACGTAGGTCGAATTGACCGAACCACTATAAATCGTGTCTTCTTTAATTTTCTCATTGATTTCACTGCATTTATTACCTACACTTGGCAGGTGGTGTGCAAAACCATTTTTGTGCATCATCAAATATGATTTCGAAGAGGATCCAATTTTCTTGGCATTTCTGGACTCTATTGGACAAAATATTTTTCCCTTCTTCAGAGATTCTCATTCCAAATCAAGCATACTTTTACAGAGGGTAATGCAGTGGCAGACTCCCTGGCTAACAAAGGTGTGATGGATGGCAACTCTAAAACCTATACTGCTATTGATGGTCTTCCAACAGTAATCAAGCAACTTGTATTGCAGGATTCTAGACAAATACGAGTTCTAAGGAAGCGCCTAATGATTTTATGACATGCATTTTGGAGACTGAGTTCTTTTCTTAATTGGAGAATAGATCTAGTTTTATCAGACCTGTCTTCTCAGATAGCTCGGACTGTTCACCTACCATGCAGCCGTCTCTTCAATAAGGTAGCTGCATTATCACGTGTTAGGCTTCTCGGTTGTTTAGCTCCACTGGCCGCCTCTCTGCTTCTTCCAGCTCAAATAGCTCCCACAGCTTGTCTCCCAGCTCAAGACAACTCTTGTTCAGAGCTCCAATCAGCTGCTGTCTTTATTTCATGTGAGCTGCTCTCAGCTCCTTTCTTTCTCATAGCTAGGCCCCCAGCTTAGAGCAGTTACTATCATCAATATTTTAGGGGCAGCATGCTTATTTTCTTTCATTTCATTTTTTTGTATCTATGCATGCATTTTGCTCTTTGTTTTATTTTAATTTTATATCCATGGAATTAGATTGCATTGAGGGGTAATACGTTCCCTGGCTAGGTGTAATTTAATTTTTGATCAATAAATTTCCTCGCACCGTCAAGGTTCCATAAAAAAAAAAAAAAGTTTATTCAACCACGTTTTTAGTAGCCAAAGAAGACAGTTTGGTTGATGTTTTTCCAGAATAAAAGTCTTCTATGTTCATATTAGACTTTCATCCGAACATGGCAGTCTTTCCCCGCCATACCACCAAGAGCTTGTGTGGCCATCAATTAGCATAGGATGGCACCTTTTTCCTTTGTCTTATGCCCATGTGTATCATTACATTTCATTGTCCTTGTTAGGGGTGTTCAAATTTTCTAATGGTCGCAAGTTCTAACCCTACCTGACCCTACCATATCCTATTGAACAGCTAGCCGCAAATATCGGATAAGAATGCAGAAGAATTTTTGGTCTTCCGATTAAATCAGGTCGGAATACAGAATAGTCATCCATTTCTGCATTCCTACCCTACCCTACCCACATTAATATTAATATATATATATAAACTAAAAAAAAAACCTAATCGTCTAAGTCATTTTAGCGCCTCACTTGCCTCACACCTCACGCCTCCTCAGTCAATCCATTGCGCCTCATGCCTCACACCTCAAGAGTCCTTCATCGTTCTAGTCCAGACTTCTAGTCCCGATTCCCACCCAGGTACTCTCTCTCTCTCTCTCTCTTTCTCTCTCTCTACGCGATCTGTTGTGGTCTGGCTTGGAAGGTCTGATTTCAGACTTCATCTATGCGACCTTGGTTCCTCATGAATCATCTGGTCTGATTCGTCAGATTTTAGTTGCAGATCCTATGTCGCAGATCAATGGGTTTCTATCCTGTGGCCTGGTCTTTTTTTCCTATGTTGCAAATCAATTGGTTTTTATCTGCTTTTTACTAGTTTCTTTTTTTGTTTGAATACATGAAATCGTTTTTCTATTGATTTGTTATTCATGAGATCTTAGTTAATCATATGAGTGTAGTCATGATATATAATATTTCATGGTTGAGGCCTCACTTGTTTTCTTTGTTTCTAACTGTGATTTTGAATCCTGATGAAGATTCAAGCTAAGGTTAGATTTCAAATGGTGTTTGACATCGTTGGGAAATTCAATGTAGACCTCAACCTGGGACAATGCTTGTTGGTGACGAATATTAGTGTTTACCTGGACAAAACAGAACAGTGGCATCTGTATCTAAAAATAATGATCAAACTAGGAATTACATGAGCGAGATCTGTGAAATGATGATCCAAAAAAGTTCTTCATTGATACTTGCTTTAGTGAGACTTGCTGGGATGGATTTTTTGTGATACTTGCAAGCCTTTATTTTGATATTTATTTCTTGGTTCAATTTATTCTGATTTCTTGTTTCAATTTACAGTTCTCACTACCTCACTTGTTTTCTTTGTTTCTAACTGTGATTTTGAATCCTGATGAAGATTCAAGCTAAGGTTAGATTTCAAATGGTGTTTGACATCGTTGGGAAATTCAATGTAGACCTCAACCTGGGACAATGCTTGTTGGTGACGAATATTAGTGTTTACCTGGACAAAACAGAACAGTGGCATCTGTATCTAAAAATAATGATCAAACTAGGAATTACATGAGCGAGATCTGTGAAATGATGATCCAAAAAAGTTCTTCATTGATACTTGCTTTAGTGATACTTGCTGGGATGGATTTTTTGTGATACTTGCAAGCCTTTATTTTGATATTTATTTCTTGGTTCAATTTATTCTGATTTCTTGTTTCAATTTACAGTTCTCACTACCTCACTTGTTTTCTTTGTTTCTAACTGTGATTTTGAATCCTGATGAAGATTCAAGCTAAGGTTAGATTTCAAATGGTGTTTGACATCGTTGGGAAATTCAATGTAGACCTCAACCTGGGACAATGCTTGTTGGTGACGAATATTAGTGTTTACCTGGACAAAACTGTTATAGTGGCATCTGTATCTAAAAATAATGATCAAACTAGGAATTACATGAGCGAGATCTGTGAAATGATGATCCAAAAAAGTTCTTCATTGATACTTGCTTTAGTGAGACTTGCTGGGATGGATTTTTTGTGATACTTGCAAGCCTTTATTTTGATATTTATTTCTTGGTTCAATTTATTCTGATTTCTTGTTTCAATTTATAGTTCTCACTACCTCACTTGTTTTCTTTGTTTCTAACTGTGATTTTGAATCCTGATGAAGATTCAAGCTAAGGTTAGATTTCAAATGGTGTTTGACATCGTTGGGAAATTCAATGTAGACCTCAACCTGGGACAATGCTTGTTGGTGACGAATATTAGTGTTTACCTGGACAAAACAGAACAGTGGCATCTGTATCTAAAAATAATGATCAAACTAGGAATTACATGAGCGAGATCTGTGAAATGATGATCCAAAAAAGTTCTTCATTGATACTTGCTTTAGTGAGACTTGCTGGGATGGATTTTTTGTGATACTTGCAAACCTTTATTTTGATATTTATTTCTTGGTTCAATTTATTCTGATTTCTTGTTTCAATTTACAGTTCTCACTACCTCACTTGTTTTCTTTGTTTCTAACTGTGATTTTGAATCCTGATGAAGATTCAAGCTAAGGTTAGATTTCAAATGGTGTTTGACATCGTTGGGAAATTCAATGTAGACCTCAACCTGGGACAATGCTTGTTGGTGACGAATATTAGTGTTTACCTGGACAAAACAGAACAATGGCATCTGTATCTAAAAATAATGATCAAACTAGGAATTACATGAGCGAGATCTGTGAAATGATGATCCAAAAAAGTTCTTCATTGATACTTGCTTTAGTGATACTTGCTGGGATGGATTTTTTGTGATACTTGCAAGCCTTTATTTTGATATTTATTTCTTGGTTCAATTTATTCTGATTTCTTGTTTCAATTTACAGTTCCAACATATCATTTCTTGGTTCAATTTAAAGTTCTAACATATCAGTTCAATTTATTCTGATTTCTTGGTTCTTATACCATTTCCATATTTTGTTTTTGTTCACAGATCATTTCTTTATGGATGAAATGACTCCACAATCATCTGTTCAAGTTGATTCTAAACAGTACCATCCTAATTATTGATGACATTCAATGTGAGGGACAAGATTTAAAAAAGGATCTAGAGTTTGGGAGCATTTTGAAAATATTGAAGCTACAGATGAAGCTCAATGTCCACATTGTGGTAAGATTTACAATTATCATGCAAGGAAAACAGGTATTTCACCCTTATTTTATCATTTAGGTCGTTGTAAATCCTATTTGACGAGTTTGAATGAGAAAGACACATTTCAATTAAAATTAATTGGTGCATTCAAAAAAGATGGAGATGGTGTTAGTAGTAACCTTAGTGTTGCTAAATTCAATGAAAAAAAAATTAGGGAGGCAATTGCTACTATGATTATAGTGAATGAATTGTCATTCTGGTTTGTTGAAGGAGAAGGATTTAGAGACTTGATGAGGACTGTTGAACCTAGATTTCGTATACTTTCTCGTACCACTGTGATAAGAGATTGTTTGCAATTATATATGGTGGAGAAAGAAAAATTTAAGTATATGTTTGTCTCATCTAGTCAATGGGTTTGTCTTACTACTTATACATGGACGTCTATTCAAAATCTAATTTATATTGTAGTAGATGTTTGAGTTGTTAAAACATGAATTTGTTTTTTTGTGTAGGTTACATAATTTGTGGTAAACTGGTGAACTATCACAGACGGAGCAATTATGATTTTAATGTATTTCATATGGTGTAAACTTAAATTAATTGTTATTGTAATTTTGTAACAATTATAGTAAATTGTGTTCATACTTTCTTGTGTTTTATTATAATTGTTGTTGTAGTTATTTTAGATTTGAGTGTTATTGATTTATTGTGTTGGTAAATTGGTGCATGTTATTTAATTAAATTGTTAAAATGATCCAAAAATTATTAGTTACAAAAGTCTTTACCTGACTTCTTACCCGATTAATCGGGTAGGAAGTCAGGTAGGAATACCACACCTGATCAAGTAGGATAGGCCAAAAAAAATTTCTTCTGCAAAGTGTCGGATAGGAAGACGGAATAGCATATTTCCTACCCATAGGGTAGGGTGAACACCCCTAGTCCTTGTAGGCCACTCAATTTTGGGTCAAACTATTGAAAAATTATTTTTTGATATCGTATATCATATATTTTTTTTTATCAATTTATATATTTTATTTATTATTTTTAATGTCAATGACTACAAATAAAGCAACCCAAAATCTACGACTAAGATTTTTTTTTTTTCGTATGATACCCACATTTTTTGTGGATAATCTAATCCTATATCCCTCAATTTCAGGGTTCAATTGTGGTACCTTATGTTTTTAACAATATAAGACATGAGCAAAGTTTATTATTTTTATTTTGTTTTAATTCATTATTTTTATGACCAATTACTAAAAATAAATTGACTGAAAAGAAATAGTGAAATTATCTATATAATAAAATACAATACAATTCAAATCTCAAAAGATAAACAAAATAACTTATACTATTTACGGTTGAAATCTCTTTAAATTTTACTTGAAAGTTAATCTAATGACTAATATTAACACTCCAAATTTAATATGGAAAATAGAGTCCTAAATATGTGTTTGAGGTGACTTTTTAAAATTATTTTTAATATTTATAACTTCTCATAAGTACTTTAAAAAAAAATAATGTTTGAAAACCACCCCACCAACACCTCTAACACCACTAGCCTCCCCCCCCCCCTCCCACCATTGTCATTGTTGCCATCCTACCACACCCATCGTCCCATTACCACTGTCACTACCACCAATACTATCACCTAACCATCACCTTTTCCACAACAACCACCATCACCGCCCCACCACCTCCACTATCATAATCCCACCACCACCCCATTAGTGCCCCACCACCACCATCATTGTCGTCACCTTACCACCACCACCATATATCCCACTATCACCCCTACCACATCATCTCCACTGCTCTCCAACCACCATTACCATTATCACCTATATCTGCCACCATTAGTATCGATTGTCATCATTCATCACAACTATCACCGTCTCTCACCACTACTGTCCACCATCACTACCATTGCTCGCGCGCCCACTATAACTAGTGTTTAAATTCTTTTATTTCTCCTTTATTTTTTGTAATTTGATTTTAGATGTAAATATAAACATGTTTATTGTTAACTATGTAAATATAATTTTGTTTATTGTTGACCATTTTTTTTATTACAACATATATTTATTATTGACCATTTTTTTAATATAGTACTAAAAAAAATTTGTGTTCCATAGTCTCATCCCAATTTGTGATGATTTTTGAGAGTTTGGCAATGCTTTTTTTAAGCAACTTTCTCTAAGCAAAAAAATAGAATCATATTTTATTTTACAAAAATGACACAGAAGCATTTGAGTACATAAAATATACTTTTTATATATGAGATTTTTATCTTATTATATATGTGATTGATTATGATTAAAAGAAATGAGTAAGCCTCGGTAAGAAAGAGGTAAAAACAAAACAACAAGAAGCAACACTTCTAAAAACTTTCTTAAAGAAATAAAAAATATTTAGTATTTAAGGATAACACAACACGTAAGGGTATTAAAATATAATACAATATGTTAACATGACACAAAATTAGATTATTTGTATTTTTTTTAAATCACGTGATTTGTAAATTAGTGGACTCAACATGACAAAATTAATAAACGAATCAGGTATAAGTGAAATTAATCAAAATAAATACATAAAACACAATTTGTTTATATACCGGTTATAACAATTCGTACATAATACAAACTCGATAAAACACAATTCGTTAAACATTAATTAATAAAAAAAATTAAATATAAATAAAATATTTTTTTCACACTAATGCTTCGTTTGATATTATAGAAAAATAGAAGGATGAAAAGTTGGATGAATAAATAAAATATTTGTTTAGTAAGAAAGAAAAATAGGAAGATGAAAAAGTGGACAAATTAATTTTCTTCCAACTCATCAAAATTAATTTTACTGCCTGTGTCTGAAGGTACATAATAATAAAAAATGGTAAACAATAAACATTTTTATATTCATATTCAAAATCAAATCATAAACATACAGAAGAGATAAAAGAATTTAAACATTGATTTTTGTAGTAGGGGTGAGAGATGGTGACCTACAGTGGTGGTGGTAAGAGATGGTGATAGTTGTGATAGGTGGCAATGATTGTAGTGGCGGTGAGGGCGACATCGACAATGGTGGTGGCGGTGACAATAACGACGGTTGTGGTTGGTGTAGCGGTGGCATCAACAACGGTGGCAGTGGTGGTGGTGTGGCAGTGGCGGTGGCGACAATGGTAACAATGGTGACGGCGGCGGGTAGTGGTGGTGATGGCGGTGGTAGAATTAGTTGGGGTAGAAATAGTGGCGGTGGTGGTAGTGATGGTGGTGGTGGTGGCGGTAGTAGTGGTGTGGTGGTGGCAGTGGCAGTGGCGGTGGTAGAAGTAGTGGTGGGGCGGTTTCATACATTATTTTTTAAAGTGTTTATTAGAAATAATTTTTAAACGTTTTTTTAAAAAGTCATTCCAAATATACCTTTAAAGACCTATTTTTCCTATTTAATTTTAGGTGTTAATATTTGCCGTTAGATTAATTTTAATGTAAAATTTAAAACGATCTCAATCGTGAATAGTAAAAGTTATTTTATTTATTTTTGAAATTTGAATTATATATATATATATATATATATATATATATATATATATATATATATATATATATATATATATATATATATATATATATATATATATATTTAAAAAATAAAAAAAATTAAATAAAAAATAAAATAAAATAAAATATGTAAGAAAAAATTTCAATGACACCCCCTTTAATTTACCATATCTTCAAGGACACCCCTTCTAGTTTAATTTAAACATCACTAATACCCCATACCATTAAACTACTATTTCTAACAAAAAAAATTCATCTAAAATATCAAAAATGCCCCTACATAATCTCAAATAATTTTTTTACATCAAAATTTTATTAAAATTCAAACTGTTAAAATTTTTTAAAAAATCATAAATAACAATTTTAGTAAATAATTTGTTAGTAAATACTAATTTGTTATTTACTAATTCATAAATTTTAAAAAAAAAATTGAGCCTATTACATTTTTTTTTTACATATTAAAGTTTGAGCCGATTTGAACTCTATCCGAGTTATTAGCGTCGATTAAAATTCTTTTTCGAGTCGATTAAAATTTAAATTTTTTTACTTATTAAAATTAGTGTTAATTAAAATTATATTTATTAAAATTTAAATCAATTAAAATTCATATATTTTTATATATTAAAATTTGAGCTGATTAAAATTCAATGCGAATTAATTAAAATTTGATTTGAGTCGATTAAAAATAATTTTTAATTGGCTGAAACAAAATTTTAATTAGCCCAAATTCTAATATGTAAAAAAAATTTAATTTTTAATTTACACAAATTTTAATATATAAAAAAATAAATTTTAATTAGCATGAATTGAATTTTAATTAGTTCGAATTTAATTACGTAAAAAAAATTAGAAAACATAGGGGGTCTCATTGAAAATATACTTATCTAGAGGGGGTTTCATTAAAAATATGTTTATTTAGAGGGGTGTGGATGAAATTTGTCCTCAAATATATCATGG